AAGTGTTTACCTCAAATGCTACTTGTTTATCTCAAAAACCATTCTAAATGTCAGTTATCCTTTTTTGAAAATTGAAAAAGTGTGTTTGGTGACCGAATGTCTCTCTTTGTTTTGCTGTTTTTAACCTGCCCACTGCCAGTTTACCCAATTATATTTCAGCATGCTGGGTTGTCTCGGTGGGTCGCATAATTTAAGTTCTTTAATGAAGTCCCATATTTTTATTCTAGACTGTATGTCTGTTGTATCTAAACCTGTTGAGCGGTCTAGGCTTGGGGATAATGTGCAGTTAAAGTCTTCTGCAATTCATAATTTTCCTGGTAGAGAAGATAGTAAAAGAAATATTTAAAGAAAAAAAATTTTTGACAATCTGTGTTAGGTCCATACACATTAGCCAGAATAATGTTTTCATTAAAAATAGAACCATTAATTATTATGTAACGTCCAGCTGAATCCTGTAAGACCTTAAAAATTTGGAATGGAATTGACTTGTGTATGAAGATCATTACTCCTCTAGCATTAGGAGAGAATAAAGCTGAATAAATTTGGCCTTTCCAGCGTCTTTGTATTGGTGTTGTGTTATTTGATGAAATATGGAGAAATGCAGAAATACTATTGAAGGGTTAAATTGTTTTATTCTGGTCATTACTCGCTTAATTTTAGTTAGTTTACCTAGACCTCTCACATTCCACAATATTTTTTTTTAAATTCTGAATTGGATCCCATTAACATGCTAGTGAATAGTTTGATTAGTATTACAAGTTTGTTTCTTAGCCTGTTTAAAATTAGATTTCACTTGCCCTGTAACCAAAGAATAATGTAAACAACCTAGGATGCTTTTAGTGCTGGCTTCCTGAACTCGCCAGCATTTTGCCCATGTTAACACAAAACCTGAAGATTTAACACTTTGTGTCACCGATCCTATAATAGGGATCAGCATAACGCAAATATTATGCGAGTCTACTATGTCACGCTCCCACAAACAAACGATCAGGCATATATAAGAGTGATCAACACCACACAACGTATGATAAATTCCACTGTAGATTAAACAGATTTTTAAAAATAGGCTTAATATTATCCTGCAGATTTCAAAGTCAAATACCAGAGAGAGAAAAAAAAATTTAACTAAGAATAAGTTAACATAAATGTACGGAGTTAAATTGGTCATATCACAGATAAAATCAGTTCTTAATTGTTATTGCATGAATGTTTTTTCCTTAATCTGTATTCAAGCCATCTGGTAAAAAAAAAAGCTGAAATAATAAGCACTGACCATATCTGTATACTTAGGTCCGTTACACATATCTCAAGGTCAATCAGTCACTTTTAAACATTTGTTTTCTTCTGTATTCGATTGTTCTGATGGGAATATTAACAACTTGCATTTTTCAGGTTACGTATGTATTTTTCGACCTCAGCTGGGCTCTCAAATGTGCGGTCGCAACTTCGCAGGGAAGACGGTTCCATATCGAATGTCCATGTCTTTAAGCTGTTGCTTCACCTCGTAGAATTTTCGCCTCTTCAGATGCGTTTCTTTCGCGATATGTTGGAAAAACTTAACTTCGTGTTCACCGTATGTTACCTTGCCTTTTGCCCGCACACGTTGCAGCACTTTGTCTTTATCCTTTGAATTCAAGAAACGCACGATGAGTGTTCTTGGAGTACTCGTGGATCCTGTAGGCGATGAGCTCTTTCAGTGGTTATCAGGCTGGAAAAAGAGCTCTGTCCCAGTACTTCAGGTAGCCATCTTTCAAGAAATCCTGTCGCATCTGCACCCTCCACCTACTCTGGTAGACCGGTAAGATGCAAGTTATTGCGACGGCTTCAATTTTCCTGATCTTCCAGTTTAGCTCCCATAAGTTTCACCTGTTGCTGGAGACTGTCTACAGTATTTTACACCACGGTCATCCGATCTTCTGTGTCACTGATGCGCTGTTCTGCCGTTGTTAATCTGTTTGAAAAGTCTTTGACCTCTTGTTTTACCGCCTGTATCATCAATGCGCCGCCATGTTGCTCCCTGTTATCATTATCATTATTAAAAGTAAATGCATCGGACGATCTTTATTGGTCTGCACTAAGACAATGCATTAAACATAAAACTTGAGCTGATCATTGTCATTGTAGTTTTATGCAGTTTTCTAAAATTGAAATTAGAAATTAGAAATAGAAATTTTAGGTGATGATTATTAAAAAACAAGTTTTAACGTGTAAGAGATTCCTTTTTTGCTTGTTGCAGTGTAGGTTTAAAAATCAGGCATGCTCGATCTCGTTGTCAATTCTGTTCTGCACTTTAAATAATATCACAGTTAATTGAATAAGCTACGTAGGAGACGCAGTGGTGCAGTAGGTAGTCCTGTTGCCTAACAGCAAGAAGTTCGCTGGTTCGAGCCTCGGCTGGGCCAATTGGCGTTTCTGTGTGGAGTTTGCATGTTCTCCCTGCGTTCATGTGGGTTTCCTCCCGGTGCTCCGGTTTCCCCCACTGTCCAACGTCATGCTGTACAGGTATAGGCTAAATTGTTTATAGTGTGTGAATGAGTGTGTGTGGATGTTTCCCAGAGATGGGTTGCAGCTGGAAAGGCATCTGCTGTGTAAAAACATGCTGGATAAGTTGCCGGTTCATTCCGCTGTGGCTACCCCAGATTAATAAAGGGACTAAGCCGAAAAAGAAAATGAATGAATGAATGAATAAGTTACACTTTTGTAACACCTTAATAGTGACACCTTAATATAAATTATACATTTTAAAGCTGTTTTAGCTTGTGCTATAAAATAGTGTTTTAGCTTGTGCTATAAAACAGTGTGCTATAAATTAGAGTTTAATTACTTGAAATTAGCAAAAATAAAAGCTACACCTCAGCGCACACAGCAACCATGCACACCAATCTGATGTGTAGTAATTAATCAGTTGCAAAAAAAAAAAGTGCAAGAAGTGATTCTTTATTTTATTCACTCTTACAAAAAAGAAAAAGGAGGAAATATTGTGTCAATCCAATCCATTTGCCACAATCTGACTTTATATTACGTACTTTTTTATAAATTGCTGTGGGTGAAAGCATTCAGGATTTTGGCTTTCACTTCTTTGGTGGCTGTAAATTTTCAAAACACCTTTCAGAAAGATGTGAATAAATCTCACCTGATCTCAATATTTTATGACAAACAAAACATTTTGAAGGTGTAAATGTGATTGACACAACAAGAGGTCAAATAATGTCTGTCCCTGTAAGAAAACATTGTAAATCATTGGAAAATTGGTTCCTTTATGTGAGGTCAGATTTGATTATTATAATTTATTTTGGTTACAGAGATAGAGGTTAACTGTATTATTAAAACTTTAAAGTTTGCTTTGATTGTTTAGCTTTTTTACTTTACCATTGCATGTTTATTGCATCATAAGATATAAGAGATGAGATATTTAGTTATTAATTATTATTATTATTATTATTATTTGCCTTTTAAAATGATTTGCCTTAGTAATGTTGGTAAAATAAATCAATGTGGCACTTAAAACTAGCACAAAGATGGCTGTAAAACTATGCAAAGACACAAACGATTTTGTACTCTCTGCTTAGTCTGCGTCCGAGTCTGTATCCGCGTGTGAGCTCTTGGCTCCGCCCCCTTGTTATGTTTTGCGGAAAGCTGAAACTAATTTTCATGTAAAGCAACACACCCCTAAAACAGCACGCTGTGTACATGTCCCCAACATGACACTTTTTAACACATTATAATAAAAACATCTGAACTGTGTATTGATCTGAACCTAAACTGGCACACTCAGAATAACCATAATATTAAAATTAAATCATAAAAAGGGGTAAATTATGTGCCCTTTAAATAATTTTTACATTAACAGAACCAAATATGAAAGATTCAATTATTTACTCATTTTCGTTTTGGCTTTGTCGCTTTATTAATCTGGGCCTGCAACAGCGGAATGAACCGTCAACTTACCCAGCATATGTTTTATGCAGCGGATGCCCTTCTAGCTGCAACCCATCACTGGGAAATGACCATACACACTCATTCACACACATACACTATGGACAATTTAGTCTACCCAATCCACCTGCATCGCAAGCCTTTGAACTTGTGGGGGAAACCGGAGCACCCAGAGGAAACTTATGCGAACATGGGGAGAACATGCAAACTCCACACTGAAACGCCAACTGACCCAGCCAAGGCTCGAACCAGCGACCTTCTTGCTGTGAGGCGAACATGCTACCCACTGTGCTGCCCACCATGAAAGAATGTGACATAATAAAAAATTATTTGAATATGAAAATGAACCGACTCTGCCATCTCAGTCTGAACTGCAGCTGGAACCCTTGATGAGTTCACCACAATAGTGGTCCGATAGACACACACTGTGCTTGTCATACATCACAAATAGTCTGTGTATTCAATCAAAAGAGACTTATTTTAGGTTTTAAAAGCCGAAATACACATTAGTAGTTGTCTGTGAAAAGGGCAATAATCATATTAAACCTAATCTGACAACATGCTTACTTTATTCAGTATATGTACACATTGTGTGCATAATTATACATTTTGTGCTGTCTTTAACTGTACTTTTGCACATCCGGGTCAGTTTAGGATCATAATCTGTTCACAGTGGAAATCTGATTCTAGCCACATTTATTCACATTTAACAGCAATGTGAATAGCTATGCAGATCTGAGTAAAAAATCTGATTTGAGCACTAAGCCTTGAAGTGTGAACGTAGCCTTTATTTTAGCTTGACAGTGATGAATTCTACTCCAGTGAAATTCCATTCCTCTCATTTTCACATGCAAATCAGATGATTTCACAACAGAAGCTTCATGGGGGATTTATTTTAACAGAACTGAAACATACAGAACATCTTTTCATAGATAAAGCTTGCCTGTTTGCAGATCAGAATAAAAAAAAACCATTGTCATCTCTCTGAACAAAATGCCAGTCATTTGTTTTATGTCCTTTAGTCCAGATCATGTAAATGTGTTTTGTTTTGTTTTTATTCTCAGGTGGTCTGCAAGAATCTTCAGTTTAATAAGGGTGTTTCAGACAAACAGCTGTTGAATGGGGTTTCTCAAGCTGTGAGAGTTTACTACAATTACACTGGAGATGCAGTCTGTCTCAACACATCAAAGACCGCTACCGGAAATCTAGGCTTCCTGGGCTGGTTCTATCAGGTAAAAAATTCGAGTTACTTGTTACATACATTGTAATTCCAGTCTTTTTGATTTTAATTAACTTCCGAATGTTAATTTCACTGGTTCAATAAGTTATTCTCTTATAGTATATATGGCTTAGGTTAGTAATAATAGTAATAATAATAATAATAATAATAATAAAAAATGTATGCGCCTGTTTGTTTCCCTAGAATCTTTAGAATCAGAAGGTCCATATTTGAAACAGTTGTGAATAGTAATGAGCTGTGCAACCCTCGTTCCCCGGGAGGGGAGGGGGGGGGGGTGGATGGAAATACTATGTGGAAAACCTTCCACTATGGGGTTTTTTATAAAAAACCAATCATCTGAAAGAGTATAAAATCGGGCCAATGAAATGCCAAATGAATTGGCGGCGTCAGCATGCAAAGCTGGCGTCAATGACTATCAGTCAAGTATATAAGACGCGGCTAGTGCAATGCTCAACATCCTTTTGAGCTGAGGAGTCTTTCACGCTCAACAGGGGCCGGCTCGATTGCATCCTTCGCCAGGAGGACAGCAATCTCTGTTACTAAATGAAAACAACAGTTTAGAACTCGTCTCCTTTATTGCATGACTACCATGGCCGTTCACTAACAACAACAACAACAACTACCGCTCACACCAGAAGTGACCTTTTAACATCACATAAAAGTCCTACTTCCTTTCTATGTGCAGCATCCACATTTACGGTTGTCATCACCTAGAATGGAACTTAAGAAACTCAATCTCTTCTTTAAAAAAAATGTCTCATGCACTTCCAGAAAAACATTAATACATAAGATAACAGTAAAACATAAGATAACATGATGACATAAGTTTTAACTTGTAGAATTCAGTACTCCTAACAGGAAGATGCTCTTTTAATAGAGCTTCCATTGTCCTTCACTAAGTGCTTTCAGTAACTGCAGTGCTGATGCCCTTTTTTTGATAAGGCAGTCTGCAAGCTGGTCTTTTGTACCATACCAGAGCACTTCTTTAATTCTTTGTGTTTGAATGAGTTTTATTGATGCTGCTCATTTCCAGACGAATTCTTTTCTCAGCAACTGACTTGGTGGACTTCAGTGCATCAGCAAGTGAGTGATTGTCTGTAATGCAGATTATTGGTATTGTATTTTCAGTGTCACCAGTAGTCAGCTCAGAGTGCAGCGTCGTCAAAAATATTGCATTATCAATTCCATCTGACATTGCTAATGTTTCAGCAGCAAGTGTACTTGGCACAATTCTCTTCACTCTTTTTGATTGCCAAGAAAGGGGAGAGAACATTCCATTTTCTCCCATAAGAACAATTAGATGTCCTCCTTGACTTCCCCCATTTGAGTGATTTCCAAAAGAGGCATAACTATATACAACCATCTTGAGCTCAGAGTCTTTTCCGAGGTATTGGAAATTCATCATTACCTTTTTGGATTTAAGTTTACACACAATTCTGTTTGCTTCATGAATAGTTTGTACAGATGCATTTTTAAATTTTGAAGCTAGGCTGCTGGCATCAAACATGACATCAGGCCTGCTTTGTCTTGCGGCCCAAAGAATTTGGCCGACCTTTGACCTTAGCTGATCCTTTTCCTCTTCATAAAGTAAGGAGTCCTGTTCCACTGATCGTGCAGGATTCAGTTGTATAGGCTGTATGTTTTGGATGTCGTTTTCCTGATGAACTTGCACTTTATTGGCAATAGTTTAAAAGTTTATTCCCACATAACAGAAGCTGTTGTTCTCCTCACGCCCAACTTGAACCATGGATCTGAGGTGAGGTATTACTGTTGTGGAAAAACTTTGTGTGCCTCCCCATATGAAGTCATCCACATGACAAGCGAGTACACCAGTCACAGCGCAATCTTGATCCAGCCAGTAGAACACAGCTGGATCTACTTTTGACATTGTTCCTCCTGACTTCATGACAATCTTCTTCACTCTTTTATACCAGTAAAGTGAAGCATCAGCCAGACCATACACACACTTTTTTAGCTTCCATAGTTTTTTTTTTTTAGAATTTGCCCTCAGGAGGTGGTTTGATATAAAGGTCCCGGGACAGTTCCATTACTTGTAGAAATGCAGCTTTTATGTCCATAGAATTTAGATTCCACTGTCTTTGACAAATCACTGCCACAAGGAGCCGAAGAGAGTCTAAAGAACATGTTGGAGAGTCCATTTTTAGTTCTGACATCTCTAGTTCTTCCAAACCTCGTGCTACAAGACGAGCTTTGGGTAAAACCGTATTAGGTGTCTCTTTGTAGGTGCATACCCACCTAGTGGAAATGCATTTCTGTCCCTCGTCCTTTACTTCCTCAAAGACGTGGTTATCTATCCAGGTTTTTATCTCATCCTGTTTTGCCAAGTCAAATGTTACATCTTTTGTTAGAAACACATCCTCACATACATTAGTGAAGTTAGCATTAGCAACAGTGTTTTGAATTTGTAGATTCTCAACCTTTGACATGTCAGCAGATTCTGTGGTACCCGCCACACTTGTGGGCTCAATAAGCAACAGGTTATACCAATTTTTATATTTGCCAGTAGCTTTACCTGCACGCCCCAGGACTTCAGCTGTGTGTAAAACACCCTTTTCTCTATCCCTGTAGCTTACAGTTTGTCCTTTTTGTAGCATGACCACAGTTTCCATACTAGCATCACTCTGTGTTTCTTCATTATCACTTGTTTGTTTTGTTTCATACTGCCTCCTTTTGTCCTGCATTTGTCCCACTCCTTGTTGTACATTGATTTCAGTCTCTTCTGCTGGCTGTTGGTTACTTTCAGTAAAGTCTTGTTCTTGTTCATTGTCTGTGACATTGTCTTCATCAGTTTTTGTTATATGTTGATATTCGCCATGTTACATTCAGCATCTTTATTACCTGAGCCGTCAAGTAGTCGCTGCAGTTTATCAACAGAAGCATGGCCGAATTGTTTGTGACGCTTTATCATGATGTGATGTTTTTCTGTTGAGTTCATTGTATCTGAAATGATCAAAATTTCACTCTCATCATCCTTTACATTTTGCGTAATGTCTTAGGCAGTTGTCAAAATCTGCTCATTAGAATGCATGTCTTTTGAGCTACTTTCGTTGTCCATTATATTTACACAATAATGACCAGAGCTTGTAAAGTCAAGTTCTATTGGCTGGTTGAACATTGCCGCTCTGTCATTTTCCATGTCTGAAACTGTTCCTGCTCTTTTCAGAGAGGCTTTGCTTAAGAGCAATGGTATGTTGGCTGAAACGACTTCAGTTTCAATCTTACATTTGATCTGTCCAGTTTTTGCAGGAATTTTTAACTTTCTGTTGGAGCGGACCACTTTTCCATCTCCAAACCTAAATGGTCTATGGTTGTATGTTTCTGTCTTTCTCAGGTCATAAGTCTCTTCTTGATTGAGCTCAGTTATGTAGTGATTTAGCCATTCTTGTCCACACACAGTCCGAGTGCATGCAGTGTCTAATATTGCAGATCCAAAACATTCAGTCATAAACAGAGTGATGTTGCATTCCTCTACATCATTTCTTGCACAATCTTCAGTCAGTTTGATTTGCTCACCTTTGTGTGGGCAGTCCTTGGCACAATAAAACGTGCTTTGACACACCGCACATTTTGATCACCGACCATATCTATCCAGTGGGTTTGTGCCAGGTAATGGTGTCCTTTGTTGTTCATTCTGAGGCCATGACTTGCCTCTCTGTCGTCTCTGTTCTGTTGTATATGCAGTTTCCTGGTTAATTCCCACCGTTAATGCAGATGTATTTCCGGTGAAAATTCTCTTAAGTGCCGACTTCATTGATGCAAAAGTGAGATCTGCACATGCTGTTAAAGCCAACTGTCGATCTTTAACATCCAAGCAAGCAGTATCAAATAATTTAAAAGCTAAGACTGCATCAGGAAGTTCCATTTTATATTTGCGCATCCGTGAGTAGCGTTGTTCAAGGTCAATTATATAGTCCGTCATTGAAACATTACTGCCTTTCACAATGCGGTCAAAGCTGGTATACGCCTCGTAAGTCCGGTCCTTTTCTTCCCTGAGAAACAAACCATCAAGTTTCGCTAGTAAAGTTGACATGCCAGTGTCCTCATTCAAATCATCAACCGGTATTTCCATCGCAGTCTCTCTCGCTCTCCCTGACAGCGCCAAAGCAACGGCGAGCACTTGCTTACTTTTTTAAAGCTCCGTAACTCTAGTCCACATTCCGACTTCATTGTTCCAGCCTTCATACAGCTTCCCATTATCAAAGGTTGGTGGGACTCAGTAATTGCTAACCATCCTCTGCTACCAAATTGCTACTAAATGAAAACAACAGTTTAGATCTCGTCTCCTTTATTGCATGACCACCATGGCCATTCACTAACAACAACAACAACTCGCGCTCACACCGGAAGTGACCTTTTAACATCACATAAAAATCCTACTTCCTTTCTATGTGCAGCATCCACATTTACGGTTTTCATTACCTAGAATTGAACTTAACAATCTCCACTCGCAAGACAGGGGCGGAAGCAGAACTAAACCTGGCGAAATACATGCCCGTGAACTTGGGAAGCCATTTCGCGAACTGTATCGCATAACCAAGTCCGATCATACAGATGAGCCATTGCGATGGGCTGGACCGCGCTAACCAGGCAGAGCCCTCGCACGTAAACCTGCCCGCACAATCGCTGACATGCCAGCAGTGAGGCAGCGTGGAGTGGGTGGGCTCGCCCGGGGAGCGCTGGGGTCCCGCGGGAGAGCGAGAGGACATGTGTGAATTTTGCTCTGGGATTTGAGGGGTTAAATGTGTTGGATGAAAAATAAAGACTGTGAAATGTATTTTTAATAGAAATATTCTGTAGATTGAATTTACGAATTTTAAAATGTTAAAAACTGTACATTACTGGCAACCACAGCTCCCGGCATTTTTCCGTAAAATCAAGTAAAATAAACTCCAAAATACTGTAAAACGTTTTTTGTGTCAACCATTGCGGAAGATAGTAGCATATGTGTGCAAGTCCAAGATGAACTGAGAG